AAAATTAAAATTAGTCATAAATTTAAAAGTTGCGATAACTTTTTTTTTGGTCCAATACTTTTGACCGGGGAGTGTACTTCAAAGTGATATTAAAACTTAAGAAAATTATATATCAAGGAATTGTGTATTTGCCAGATAAATTCCCCGGAAATGTTTGGTGATAAAGTGCAATTTAAACACTTTTCTTGCTGGAGTAAAGTAGCTGTAGCCTTGTAATCAGTATTGGTCACCTTTATAAGTCCAGTTATTTTTGACTGGACTTGAACTATAAGTCCAGTTACTGAAATTATAAGTCCAATGGTTCAGTTTTATAAGTCCAGTTAATCCAATTTGATCCAGTTGGCCAACACTGCCTGTAATACCTGCGCATTTTTGGATGTAATTGTCAACTTTTCCGAAAACTTTATTAGTAATTGTGGCATTCAAATAGCCTTTCCACTAGCACTAAGTACAACGACACGTTTGTTTGACATCTTTCTAATTTACAGTCTGTTCAACAAATGTATTATTTTTTTTTATCCAATAATTTCGTTTTGGAAGATAGGACAGATGTTTATCAGCTACTATTTTCATCTTTTTCAAATTTTTTTTTTATTTGTAATACAACTGAAATATTTTAAAACAAGTTTTTTTTTTTATAAAATAAAATAAAAAAGGCTGTTGTATTTAATATTAATATTATTTAATTCATAAAAAAGGGATCCTACAAATATCCCGACACAGAATCTTAAAATCCGACATACCAAAATCCCGATAGTCCATAATCCCGACCAATTATTTTTTTAAAAATAAAGATCGTGGCGCAGCACCGATTCATTTTTTAATGCGATAAGTACTATACTGATTAGGTTTGGGTTATAATTGGGATATTGTGTTGAATTAGAGGTTTTTTCGTGCTGTATTTTGATCTGTATTAGGTTACCTTTTAATTTGTAGGGATCATATAATTTCGACTATGGGTGAAAAAAAAAATATATTGTCGATCATTTTTTTTCGTATTACGTCATCAATAATGTAATTGAATTTGTCGATCGAACATACTATTCAGTGTGTGTTTTTTGAGTGTGTTTAATTTAATATTCATTGTTTTTTTTGAAATGCAATTTGTCGATCGGTGTGTTTTTTCAGAGTTATTTATTGAGATCAAAAGAAAACAATCAATTATTTTGAAAAAAGTCATTAAAATAAAATTTTTTTTTTAATGCTTTTATCTGTTTTTATCCGGTGAAAAAAAAATTGAAATTTCGGAAAAAAGAACTTCTGGAAAGAAATATCTGAAATACAATTAAAAAAAAAAAAAAAAAAATGAGAAACAGTTCGTCAATATCGAATTTAATTATCTCGGTATAAACGGGTTGATTCAATGCCCTCCTCTTGCCTTTTTAGGTAATTCGCCCTTTGAGATATGGTTACTCTTTTGATCACAGGATGACGGGCATAAACATTTAAATAATCGATCACTGAAAAAAAATTTTTTTAATGTTTTTCACTTCATTATATCAATAACCGACAATACAAAATTTTCATTTGGAAATAGTTTCACTAACATTTTATAAAAAATATTATTGGTTCTTATTCACGCAAAAAATGTAAAAATTGCCATATGTAGAATTTGTGTTTTTTGTATTTATGTGCACAACTCTATCGGAAATTGGGTTCACTCCGTTTAAATACACGACTTGAACATACAAGGAATAGTGAGTCAATCCAATATGACTTCCATTTTATGCGAAGAATGTGAACAAGGCATTGACGCGACGACTGGTTGGTGTACACCATGTAACGCCAAGCACTTTGAAAATAACTTCTCTAATTGGACAAGTGAGAATGCCGAAATAGACGAGTTTATTCGTAACTCTCAAATAAACGCCATACGTCACGAATGTGTATTCGAATGGGTTGACTATTCTAAATTTACTCTACTCCGGAGGGTTGAATTTTCTAGAAACAATAAAGCTTATTGGGAAGAAGGGCATTTGTTAAGGTGGGATTTAAAAGCGAATAAATGGGTTCGAAATGGTGGGCAGTGGGTTAAGTTGGTAACTAATTATTCTGCCGAAAAACATTTGTGCCCACGGATCCTTAAACTGGTAAGTTTATTTTACTATATTCATCTTTCTTTCCCTTTTGAATGAAATTACTCATTTTCGCTAATTTACATTAATTCAAGGAATCTGAATTTTCGAAATCAAACCCACCATTAAAGAGACTAATTTATGGAATCACGCGTAACCCTGAAACAAAAGAATATGCTGTTATTGAAAGTTTAATGGATCAGTGTCCCTCCTGTGGTCAAGAATGGATGTCTCCCCGTTGGTGTCGCGGTTGTAATACCGATCTATTTAAATCTGAACGTTCAAATTGGACAAGTGGTAACTCAGAAATTGATGCCTTTATTTATGAAGCACAAACAACCGC